TACGAACGCTCAGACCTTTAGTCTTCCTCCTTACTTAAGCTTGTTCGTACGTAACTAACCACGTCATTTAGTCACGTGACTAAAGTCATGTGATTCACTGCCATGTGACCTGTAGGTCATGCCTCTCTGGCGTAGCCCTTTACACGAAAGCTAAACGCGATTACTAGATGCTTATCTTTAACAGCTATAGTAGCCATGTCTTACCTAAATTTATTAAATATTGTTACTCCTATTAAATAATACTTTTAATATTTCTACCCCACGCCACCTATACTCTACAGCCTCTTAACGTAGTGTTGTATAGGCTGCTATTAGTGGCGTACTCTAAAGAGCTATTAGAGTTTATACGCCGCAGCTAAGCATTGCTCTAAATGTAGAAAAGTGATTTCTTCTACCTATTTCAGGTGGCGTATACATCTACCTTTACTACTAATAATATTTTAAGTAGTTATGTAGCTACTAGGCTCTATCCCTATAATCCTAAAGTTGTACTTAAACAGTTTAAAACTACTACATTACAACAAGATAACAGCTTAAAAAGTAGAGAGGTTGGAGATGGAGATAGCTGGCGTACGCTGTTAAGATTATTTAACGTTGCGGTACAAGATAAGTTAATAGCTACAGCTAAAGAGCTCTGCTAGGCTCTACATTCTCTATAGGTCAACAACAAGCTTCTTCACGTTAAGATTAACAAACTTCGCAGTAAAATCGCCACTAAAAAATAGAGGCCAAAGCATAATAGAGTTCTTAACCTTTAACAATACTAAGAGTACTAGAGTCTGGCGGTGGTGTGGAGCCTTTGGGCGGTACGGGAAGCTTAAGCGCGTTAGGCTGTACAACACTAAGAAGAAGAGGCAGAAAAACTCTAAAAAAAGAGAGAGAAAAGAGATGTAAGAAGCTGCTGCCTAGTATAAAAAAATAAATAGCTATAGAGGTAAGATAGGCGCAGGAAATTGCAAAAGTTACCCGCGAGAAGGAACGGGAGGCTAAGGCTGCACAACTTACTGCCGCGCGCGCCTAAAAAGAACAAGATTGGCTTGCTGCAATAACAAAAAAATCTTACAATAAGCAAAGTATACCTAAACGAAAAGCTTCATCGTCGCAGAATACAAGAACAGCAAAACGTAGTTGTGTGGTGGGCTGCGAGAGTGGTGATGGAGTTGCACCGCCGCCCGCCAAGCCCTCCACTAAAACCACCACCCGCGGCCGCAATATAAAGTTACTAGCGAAATATATATAGACGGAAATATATATTACTACTTGCTTAATACTCTACTAGAAAATCTCGTGATAATAGCTTTTGTATGGGGCTCTATAGCCTCATCTTTGGTGGAGCACCAATTTTGGTGGGGTGTTGCATCCGCTGAACAGTTGCACGCACTGACCACCTACAGTAGTGACTTAGCGAGTGCAGGTCTTTACCGTAAGCAGAGAACGTTGCCCCACTTTCGTAACCACCATTGTTCTTCATTACTCATCTCTACACTCTGTACAACTTGGACGACTTCCGGTGGGGCAAGACACGAATTGCCGTCTCCAAAAATTAGCGGCCAAAACGTGGGGGGGGGGGGGGGGATGTGGGGCGGTGAGAGGGAGATAGACCGGGGAATCATGAACTCAATCTCGGGGAGCTATGCCATCCCCGATAACCCTGCACCTAGCCTCGTGACAACGACATGGCTCTGATCGGTGGAAATAAGACACCGGGGACAGCGCGATTTCGGCTTTACCCATCAGGGTAGGGATCAACAATAAATCTAGCAAATGGGATAATTGCTTTCAGGGGACTGGGGCCCTTGCTTAGACTGTTGTATAGCCGTATACGTGAGCATTGGGTATTTTTTAACAAAAGCGTGGTTTCAGTGAGGCATTAGAAGCTTTTCGTTCGGTCGTTCATCGCAAGATACGCATGTTCTCGGCACTGTATGCTACGCTCGTTATGAACCATTTCACGTTAGAGGAAGCGGCAGCGGTATCGCCGCCTTGTACGAAGGTTTCTGGTTTTGCACAAGGTACATAGTTGATCGGTGGTGCGAATATGGCATACAACATGGCTCCGGCCATAAGCTGGATACCCTCGAGGGGCGAGCCGGTACGTAAGATGATACACAAGATGTCCCAAACCATTCGGTAGTGCTCAAGAAAGAACACCACCGTCTGGGTTGTGTATCCAAAACTGCCTGTTCATTACATGTTAGTTTAGCGCCGTCAGCAGCAACACCACAAGATACGTACGAAAGTGCTTCGAGAGGAAGAGGGACGGCTGCACTATCCATTGTATGACGGAACAAAGAGCAGCCAATCTTTCAACATAACCCGTCGACCTGCGCTTGACGAGGAGACAGTCGCTCGTGAGCGGGCCTAGCGTCCACCTCCGACGCTGGCTAAGAAAGACCGAAGGAGACGATGGTACTGTAGTATAGGCTCTCGCACCAAGACATTGCCGCGTCTGGACATCTGCATTCTCCGACAGAACGAGGCATATGTGGTCTCTGTCCTCACTCATCATAGATCGGACCGTTCGAAACAGACTATCCGTAGCCTTGGGGTAGTATCCAAATTTGGCCAGGATGTCGTCGCCACATGTAGATTCCAAGACCCGGAGCAGTTGGCAGCATCCAGGCAAGCACGTCACCCTTCCGCTTGTAAGGCTTTGGCGCAGACGGCGGCGGTGCTGACCCACCATGTACTCCGCCATCTGATAAAGATACGAGAAGGAAAAGGTACTTGAGGTCACCGGGTCCGGTTGGATGTAGCCAGTCACACCAATGACCTGTTCACCTTCTCTTACAGTCTGAATCAGGCTCGAAACGCATTCCACATCGAACCGTGTGTCTGCATCGATGCCCACAGCGTAGTCTAGCGACTGGATGCCCGCATTTTCGAAGAAACCCGAGAGTTCGGTGAAAAGCTCGGGCGTAAGCATGGCCAAGGCAGGCTTGGATTGACGGAGGTTAAACTTGCGAAAGAAAGAACGGGCCAGAACAATGCTGTCCCGTTTTCCCCGATTCTCGTTCTTGATGAGGCACACGATTGGAAGACCCTTGAACTCGCCCTTGACGAGCTCGATATCCATCAGCGCACCGTCCCATGAAGTGTAAGCCCTAGACATGGAGATGCTGGAGGGTCGCTCAATAATGTCTTCTTTCAGATGAGCCGCCGCTGTCTTAGTCATGCCTTTGGAGCTCACGTGGCCATCGCAAACTACCAAGATTGCTTTCTTGTGGTCGTCGATTGACTTCTGCGCGGCCAAGGAATTGAGCGAGACCATCAACTCTGGGTAGGTCTCGTTGTAGCAGCACATCAGGTAGACAAAGCTTTCTGGTGTTTTGGGGACCTTGGAGACTCGAGGATGTACACGCCGATACCAGTAGAAGATGAAGATGGAAGTGATTTCGATGACATCCACGACGAGTCGCATCAGCGCAAGTGGAGCCAGCCACCAGAAGTACGTTGTGCATGATTTGAACATGTAGAGCAGAGTCAGGCTGTGTGTTAAGGATTATTTGATCCGTATCTCGTGTCATCTGGGCAAAGGCTTTATTTGCACTTACTTCAATGGTATCATGATCGCCAGCACGGCGAATTTCTCAACCCTGAGTCGCTGGGTATTGACAGATGGCAGGTGTTCGATTGCGCTGCGTAATTTCCGGGTGGAAATTGCAATTGTTCCCTTTCTGCTTTTTCTGAGATGTGGCGCATCTGTGAGTGTAATTGCATTTTGGGCCGCTGAGTTGGCGGCATCAAGGAGCCTCATTTTGATAAAGCCTTGATATGTGCCTTTGAAAGATGAGGAGAAGGAGACGAAGTTGTGTAGTCTTTTCGTCTTCTTTGGCAGATGCTTTATGCACTTTCCAACAGCCTGCTGTACTTATATGCTCTCTCATGAGACCGGTTCATTGCCTTTATTTAGAAGAGCACAGCCGGCCCTAAGGAAGAGAGACGGCCATACGGAATACGAACATGACTGAATGAGGCCTGACACGTCAACCGATACAGGAAAACGTTCCATGATGCTTCATGCGGCGTGCTATGACTAGCGCAACCGATGCAGAAGAGCGTTCCATGATGCTTCATGCAGCTTGTTGTGACTAGCCGAACCGATGAAGAAGAATGTTCCGTGACGCTTCATGCAGCTATCACCAGCGGAGCAGACCCCATTGCCTTACGCTACACTACCGCCTCAGGTCGCTTGACCGCTTCACATTGACGGACTATTTGCGAGTCGTTGCCGTTTCATGTGTATGCTAGCCCTCAACCACCATAGTTAAGACCGAGGAAGGTGCGTCTTGCGAAAGAGCCGAGCGTATACACATGGTATTTCCGTGAAGTCGACTAACCGGGGGCCTGGCCGGTGCTCCATTGTATGGCAAATTAGGCAGATTTAGGTAGGGCTAGGTACATCCAGTTTGTTTCCTAAAACTTCGTATTGTAGCCAAAAGGAACATATATTACAGGCGTTGCTAAAAATACCGCATTTTGAATGGTACCCTGGCGATCCCAATTAGGATAGAAGACTCATCAACCTTTCGATAGACGTTGCTTTTGAGGTTCTAGAATATAATCATCTTACTAGACAGTTGCTCTTTGTTTTCGATCTCAACGTAAAGAGGTCAGCAGGCATGCTGACCACCAGCCACGCTGACCACTAGGCACTAAGCCTAAAGCAGGTCCAAAAACGGAGACGGAACACGGAGGGCCGAACAAGGCCTCAGACATGCGGTACTTTGCGAGGTTACTCATGAACACGAAGCTCCGTTTCTCTTAAACAGGTGTTAATATTGAATATGCAAGCAAAGACAGTTTTACCAGCGTAGCGCTATTGAAACGGACGTGTGTTTTGTGTCTCTAAATCCGCGCCCTACCGAACAGGCCGCAAGGCTACCATGGCAAGGGAGACATTCCTGACTCGTATGTCCATGCCTCGAAAGTGAGAGCGGTATTTGTACAAGTACGAGCACGAACAAGCTAATACCAATGGTTTGAAATATTAGCTTGCTATCACGTCTTCGCAGCATTCTTTCACAACTCTCGAACTTCGTCTTTAACCGTCTTGTTTTTTGAGCCAATCGTTGCAATCCTTTGATATGGTTTCGTTGTTGGTTACATCAGCGGAGAACCCGTCAGGTACGGGCCTTCGTTCCTCGACCACACCAGATGGCCACACTGTCGTTGCCATTATCGGAGTGGGCTATGTCGGCGAGCACCTTATGGAAGTCTTCTCATCGGCCTTTTCCATTATCGGTTACGATGTTTCTGCTTCGCGCATCGAAAATCTGCGCTTGAAGCACTCGGAAAAGAGCCATGTTAAGTTTACCACAAATGAAGAAGACTTGCAGGTTGCATCACATTTTCTCATCTGCGTACCGACATTGCTAGGCCTCAAGGGCAATGTCGATTCCTCGCATGTAAGAAGTGCGGTGACCATGCTCGATCGCTATGTCAGCGACACCTCTATCGTGGTGATCGAGAGCACTGTTGCAGTTGGCATGACGAGGGAACTGCTCGGGCCGCTTGCAAAGTCGCGTCGTGTCTTTGCTGGGATGTCACCGGAGGTAAGAGAAATCTCCAAGGCGAAACATGCGGACCAAGAACTGATACCTAGGCAGAGAATAGATCCCGGTAGAGTCGACCCTCCGCCTAGATCGATCCCCAAGGTCGTCTCAGGGCTCGACGATGTGGTCCAAGGGTCGTTGACCGCCATTACCAGGTTGTATGAGAACGTATTCGATACCGTTGTGCCGGTCCGTAAGCCAGAGGTAGCGGAAATGTCAAAGCTGTATGAGAACTGTCAGAGAACAATAGCGATCGCCTACGCGAATGAGATGGCAGACGCCTGCAAGGATCTCGGCATTGATCCTTTCGAAGTGGCGCAAACTTCGGCAACCAAACCTTTTGGATACCTGCCTATGTATCCTTCACTAGGCATTGGGGGTCATTGCATTCCAGTAAATCCGGTCTACTTCATGTCGACTTGCAAGTTACCACTGCTAAAACAAGCCCACGGATGGATGATGACGCGCCCTTCACGCATCGCCAACCAGCTTCTTACCTCCGTACTGGAAGAATCGCATCAAAGACATGGTCCGGCACATCGACCGAGCGTTCTTGTGGTTGAGTGGGTTTCAAGGCTGGTCAGTCCGACATGTCGTACTCGCCTGGCTTACAACTCCTCAATTTCATGCGCCAATCGGGCGAGGTGGGCTTGATGGTTTGTGATCCATTGGTTAAGCAAGAGTCTATTTGCGGAGTACCAAAGCTGGAAGAATGTGATTGGAAGTCAGGGATTCTCCAGACATTTGACGCAATAGTGGTTGCTGTGAAACAGCCCTATCTAGACTATGGCGTTCTGGAAACTTTGAAAGCTGTCAGGGTCGAGATATGGCAAAGGTGACGTGGGAAAATGCCATTACTGTTTTAGAGAATTTTTAGAAGCGATTAGCGTTTTACAATCTACCCATTACGAGTCAGAAAATATTGACTGCATCATGCCGCTGTCAAATTCTTGGAACTAGTCTTCTTTGGCGAGTACGCACTACACGTCTAGGTGATTCGGCCCGCGTTTTGACCAGCGGAAATACGGGTGTGTCGGAACTGATGTCCACCCGAAATACAGTAATACGGCCCTGTTGAGTCGAGCAGGATCGGCCCGTCTTGAACAGTGCCTGAGAGACTTTGACCTCCGTGCCACACTCGGCTGGAGCTCACCTCTCGCTAAGTTAATGGCGGTGAAATTCTACTTCGAGATCAGTATCAGAGGCGAGGCCTTTAAGATGTGAAGCTACGATTACGACTGCCAACATGACATTGACGTAAGATTTAAAAGGTGATCACGCCTTCTCAAGTGGTGAACCGGTAATCTCCTATTCTCAACATGAGCACTGCATTGGGATCATTCAATCCGTTTTATTATTACCCAGTGGGGAATGTATGTCCGGTAGTGTCTCCGTTGCTTGGCATTGAGGGTATCAACAACGGAAGATGTGGACCAGGTATTCGTCAGCCATCCTGCAACAATTGCTGCTCCCAAGATGTATGTGATGGTATCCAGGTTATGCTGGTTGGGATTTTGTTGACTCTGACTCTTGCTAGGGATACCGCATGACGGACCCCAGTTATGTTGGTCCATCACTATGTCTTCATGATAATAGGCTAGCATGCGATGGCTCTAAATGGCCTCCAGGTTTCAACACGTCAACCACTTCACGTCCCAAATTAGGAGACATTGTGTATGGAACGAAACTCATTACTTGCAATGTGAACGGCACACTTGCACTCACATATGATGATGGCCCGTCACGGTGGACACACGATTTACTCGACATTCTCAAGGCCAACGACGTCAAGGCAACCTTCTTCATTACCGCCGTAGTCTTATATGAAGATCTGACTCGGCACCGTAGCGATCAAAGACCTTCAGCCGTCAAGAGAATATACAATGAAGGACATCAAGTAGCCGGGCATACCTGGTCCCACCCAGACCTGAACTCGATGCTGGATTGGCAACGAAGAGGCGATATGACTAAGATGGAGATGGCGCTCACTGATATACTGGGCTTTTCCCCCACTTACATGCGGCCGCCATACAACAAATGTGACCGCGCGTGCCAAGACCATATGGGGGAGCTTGGATACCACGTGGTAAGTTTGCAGGTCGAAGCCGTAGACTATGCGTTATGCTGGCTAGTGCTAACTTCATCAAAGATTGGATGGGATATTGACCCCAAGGACTGGAAGGGAAATTACACGTATGCAGAGCAAAACTTTTTGAGAAGAATACAGGCGCCAAACCATGAGGACAAAAAGGCCAGGCTGAATCTGGCACACGATACCTACAATGGTACAGTCCATGGTCTCACCCAGTTCATGATCGACAACGCACGAAAGCATGGGTACAAATTCGTGACGGTGGGCGAGTGCTTGGGAGACCCAGAAGAAAACTGGTACCGGGATCCTTTGACAGGGAACAAGCTTGGCCGTCTGCTTCCTAAAGGGACAGTATAATTTTAATATAATCGTAAACACATATACAGCATCCTGAGTGATCGCAAACTTTTCATGTTTCTTGTTTTTATTAGCCTTTCCATTTTGCAGATTGAAAAGGGGATGGAAGATATGTGAACCTTGACAGCCTCAGCACAAAAAAGTCAGCATCGCTTATTTTCCCATGAGTACCGCTTATTTCCCATCCGTCGCTTGCAAGAGATCTAGGCCTTGGAACGCGGATAACCCATGTGAATGTCGTCGGATCTGGGGCCAGAAACAAGACATCAAAATCAATCTGAGGCTCACACGCCCCTTTTGGAACCCTAAATCTATTAAAGTTTGAATGGGTTCTCGTCAGGGGATCGAGCTCAACATTGGGTTCGCAATCTTTACTTCTTTGGGTTTGTCCTTTTACTTACCGGGAATCACACAATACATGCCCGCTTCACGAGACGTGCTAATGTGTCTACGACTTCAAGCAAGCGATGAGGCCTAGTTTGTTCCAAGTCGCGTTGGTAGGCGTGCTAGGCCATACTCGCGTTGTGAAAATGGCTGTAATCGGCCCGCTGATGAATACGAGGTATGGTGTGGTTGGTCAAGGTAATATCGAAGCGACAGGGTCTCCGGCATACGTACCAGACTGGTTGTATCGACCACCCCGATCCCGCGACGAAACCATGGGCTCGTGTGTAAAACCAAGTTGCCGGATCGACACGTGCATATTATTGTTAAGGAATATGCGCCGAATGGACGTTCTTGGAGGTCGGCAACAGAGTGCGTACCAATGAAAACGCCATATAAGTAACGCCAAGCTGAGCAATGGTACTTAACTACGTAGAAATCACGAAACTTGAGTTCATTGCCTTTCTGTAAGCTTCTTGGTAGAATGAACATGATGCTGCATCAATGCATGTCCATGTCAAACGCACTTGAAAGAGCAAACAGGTGTCACTGTATGTTGAACTGTGGCATGTATTGATGGACCAGCTTCTGGAGCTGTATAGATCACACTGAGCGACAGCTGACATGGGGGAGTTTCGTCAACAGTGGACCTCGGTTCTCATGACGTGTCTAGCCACCAGGATACAGGAGATTCTGCAGAGATGGTGAGGGAAACCATTAATTTCACACATGTGCATGCCACCAAAATCCTTCGCGTTTGCGTGAAACGTTTCACGGGCTGATAGCAATAGCGATGGGTGAGTAGTTCCCGAACCCGAACCCCGAACCCCCACTCACGTGATGCAGCACTTTGGCTAGGGATTTAAATTGCACTGTGCAAGCATGTATGCCATGTACCTGCAACAAAAGGGGTGATATGACCGGGGTGTTGGACATTGGGTAAAGGGTCCAGACAAAAATCCTCCGAGTACCATACAAAGAGCGTGACAGGTTCCCAAATCACCATGCTTCTGACCTCCGTGGCTGCACCCGACAAAAATCGAATTTTCACGGGCTTAAAGTATGAGGTGGGGAGGAATGCATGGGGCGTCAGCGGAGTTTGGGGGCGTGATTAAAAATCAGCGTGCAAAGCTTAAAATCCGACTTCCCACCAAAAACCGGTCCTGACTAAGGGCCGCTAGTCCGCATTTGGGCTTACCAGTGGGCAACGTGCTTATTATTGTTCCATTAGAGTCTAGTGAGCTCGAGGCTATGTAAGACTTTGGCCGAGGCCGTTCTAACTAGATTTAATTACAAAATACGAGTTTGTGCTTGAAGTGTGTCTGTTGGTGCTTTCGGCCTTT